TTTTTTTTTTCAAATTACTTTCCAAATTTAGAAATAATTTTCCTTCATTTAAGTAGTGTGAGAGCGCAACGATGCTCTAAATGTGTTGGCATAGCAACGTGATACTTCCGGTTTCCTTTTCCGCCCGTCCTACGAAGGCCGTCTCGTTTAATTCTAGGTTGAGGACACTTCGTATATGCATCCTACAGAGGATGCGACCTCCAGAGGATTCGACCTCCGGAGGGTGCAGCCTTCTAAATGAGACTCAGCGATAATGTGCAGTGCTGGTGGGAAACATCCTGGATGTTATAAACATTCCCTTTGGCAAAGAAGTTATCAAGGCAATGATCAAAAATGAAATGATGAAGAAATTGCAGGTCAGGTGGGACATGCATAATAGTGGAAGAAAATATTACAGTGTACAGAAATTTGCGCTGGATGTGATTAGAAGGAACAGAAGGGAAGAATCCATTTAATCCAAGTGAAGATTTGATTTGATTGTTATTTTCAAAGCAATAGCCTACTTGCTCAAATTTGGGAAATGTGAATAGCTAAGAAAAAGTTTTCTTAATTGCCCCTCTTTTTGGTCAGAAGTTACCATGTTAGTATTCCTTTGTTGTAACAAATTAAAGAAACAATAATTATCACACACTATTGTCGCTTGTGGGAATAAGTTAACTAATTACAGTGAAAGCAATAGCCTACATCTAATGCAAATATTTAAATAGTTTTAAAGGCGACATGGGCACAACATAGGCTATGTATCAGGCATTTTAAGGCGACGTACATTGAGACGATGTATGTATCGGGCATTTGTAAGGCGACGTACCTAGTTCAGACGTAGCCATGTCGCCGTCAGGTATAGTTCCTACATGACATCGCCTCTGGTCTGTCTTCTGCCGTCCCTATCAATCCCATTCAAAAATCTACACGGGCTGGCAGCTCCTTCTCCTTCTCCTTCTCCTGTTTAGCTTAGAAAAGTCACGAATCACTCGCCATACATTCTTCGTACCTCGCTTAATACATCTGAGATGATTTGAAAGATTCCAGATCTAGTAATCGTGATAACTGATCTCTGGCTAATTTGGTTCTTCAAACGAATTTGCGGATTTGATTAAAATATCTGGATTAAGCAGGGACGCGGGAAGTAGGGGGGTTGAGGGGGCTGCAGCACCCCCTGTTTTCACATGGTTGCAAATGCAATGCCAAGTTTGTTCATTTTTAAAAATGTATTCAGTTTTAGCATTTAATAATTTATTTGTAATGATCTCTGACATGTAAATTGTAAGTGGGCTATAATAGACCCATGTTTATCTTTATAAACATGATTAATTTTACTTGTGATGTTTTCTATATGGGATGATTAGCCTAATCCTCATGAACACGTGACGCTAGCGCATGAACTGTACAGAATGCGATTTTTATTTTATTTTATTATTTTTTACATGATTCCAAATTATATATATATTCACGATTTCTAGTGTTTGTACAGGCTTTACATTTTTATTTCAATGTTGTAATTAGCAATTCATTTAATTTTATCTTTGAAACAGATTTGTTACGTGACCGCATTAATTAAAGTTTCTTAAGATCATGCATCTCCTGCGCTCCATCAAGCCACTCCCATAATAGCGGTCACCACTCAAATTAATGCATGGCTTAGATTAACTGTATAGCATGTGTAAGACTCCAATACAATTATAAAGTAATTATTTTATCATGAATAAATATTTCAATGAGTAAAACTGACTGTGTCTGTAGTATTATAGACTACAGAATATTATATTATTTTTCAATTAATCTTTAAACTATTATTAATATTACTGTCCCTGGATCAGTAGGGTACTCTTCCAATAAAGTAGTGGCTAGGACAGATTTTAAGTATCAATGCTGCTTAAAAAGATGCAATCTAATCCTGTTTACATGAAATAAGCCTGCTCCTTAGCAGGTTTAAATTTACGAACCTATTGCTATGACAGCAACTTGGATTATTAAAGTCCAAAACCTGATTTGAAATAACCTAACAAATCAATCGGGACTAAAGCGGTTTCTTAAACGACAATTTAATTTAAGTTCACGCAATCTCACTAATTCGATCCTGGGGCCCGTTCTTCGTACGTTGCTAACTCAGTTAGCTGAATTTGATCTTGGATTGTTTGGTTCTTCGAAGCTCATCCGGAGTTGCTGTCATAGCAACAGGTCCGTAAACTTAAACCTGCTAATTAGCAGGCTTATTTCATGTAAACCGGATTAGAGTGCATCTTTTTAAGCAGAATTGATACTTAAAATCTGCCCGCTACTTTATTACAAGAGTACCCTACTGATCCAGGGACAATAATTTAAAATAATAATAATTAAAAAATTAATTTAAAGATAATATAATAATGTTGTGTAGTCTTTAATACTAGACAGTCCGTTTTACTCACTGAAATATTTATTCGTCATAAAATTATTACTTACTTAATTATTACTTAGAATTATTGGTCTTACACACATGCTATACAGATAATGTAGAGTCGTGCATTAATTTGAGTGATGACAGATATTATGGAAGTGGCTTGATGGAGCGCAGGAGATGCAGATAACATGATCTTGACCCTTAAGAAACTTTAATTAATGCTGTCACGTAACAAATCTGTTCAAATATAAAATTAAATGAATTGCTAATTACAACATTGAAATAAAAATGTAAAGCCTGTACAAATATTAGAAATCGTGAATATAAATAATTGGGAATCATGTAAAAAATAAAAATAAAACAAAAACACATTTTATTGCACACAATTGCACATTTCATTTATCTATTATAACATTTATGTAGATTTGTTCGCTTGGCTGTTTCCTTATAAAAGTCCAAAAATTGGTCAAGTTTTTCGTCAGGTGTGTTTTTTAATTATATGATGTCATTACATTGCTGTCTTGCCGCCAGCCAATCGCTGCATTGCTGATCGTGGTTTCGAGTATCGATACATAGCCCCTTTTAAACCAACCCATGAACCCGCAATTATCTCAGATAACGCAATCCAGTCATACTAATCATCAACAACAGGTGCGTTCGAAGAATCCAATTAGCCAGATCCTGATTAGCGCGATGATATCATCTTGGATGTGACATTTCATCTCGGATGTAATAAGCGACGTACGAAGAACGGGCCCCAGGTTCAGTGAGTCAGGATAATTTGATGTGCATGCTTATTCTTAAGCAGCCCTTAATGCCGATCATGGATCAAATCGATCCACCATGGCAAACAGTGAATATTTGTGCCGTTTAGTGCATTTGAGACATTGTGTTTTCCTCAGTGCATAACTGACACGTCACAGGTATATTTATGATCCGTAAACGTTAGAAAGTCATGCAAATATATACATTTTGCTGTCAGGAGTGGGTGAGGCTTAACGTTATGTGTGTGAACGAGCGCTACTGCGCTACACAAATGGAACGCAATAGAATAACGCAATAATTCTGAATAAAATATGCATTCTGCTATAATATTTGTTGTTGGACATTAAATGTGATGCATGTAGAATTTTAATCCTACATATAAGTGTTTTTTTTTTTTATCATGGCAGTAACTGTAAATCAAATGTAAGCTGGCTAATACAGCCCTACTATCTCAAATGAGCTAAATTTGTGTTCCTCTTATCAGTTAAAATGTAGTCTGATTTCTATTATTTATTTACATTTTTAATTCGGTGGTTTTAACTTTTAATTGGGTGGTTTTAATGCTCTAAAGAGCAATTTTAGATTGTAATGTTTTAATGTTCTACTAATAACCATAAAAGATACAGCTGTCATAAAACCTGAGAGAAAGGCTACATGGCTAGAAACTGCTGATCAACTGACTGTGCATGTGCATTTTAACTATGTTAAAATGT